AGGCTGTTAAATTTAGGAATACCGATATTTATAAATTTTTTAATTTTAAAAATTCTAAAATTTAGAAAGTGGCAATATAGGGAGTGGAGTTTGCAAGTTTGGAAATTGTGAATTTTTCAAATTATTAAATTTAGGAACTTGGAAATTTAGAAACGTAGAAAGTGAACATTTGGAAATACTAAAATTTATAAATTTTCAAATTTACAAATTTAAAAAATTTCAAATTACAAATTTAAAAAATTCCAAATTTAAAAATTAAAAAATTTGAATATTCTAAGATTTAGAAAAGTATAGATTTTCAAGCACAGAAATTTTAAAATCTTTACGTCGCCATATTTGACATCGTAAAACTGAAAATAGGTGGTGCGCCCTTTTCTTACACCGCCATTTTCTCTCAATCTACCACGCTGATATTGTTTCATTACATAGAATAATTATATTATATTATAAAATAATTTTCCAACTAAACTCCTTTATTTTCGAGTCGTAGACAAGTTTGTCCCCCTCCACCTTATCTCTAAATCAAATCCTTCAAGCAATCACACCTTTACAACAAAATTCGTGGCTTGAGAGGTTCAGGATATGTTTGCGACCTAATTCGATATCGACGTTTGTCCACGATTCGAAAATCAACTAAAAATCCCAAAATTGTACCTCACAAATATTCCTTATATTTATATACTATAAATATTCCTCACATTTTCAAGAGTTAATCGAGTTCCATCATGTAAAACGTGTGCCGAGTGAAACGAAGTATAAACAGCAAACGAATAATCAGCGATATAAAACTTATCGATTACAACGATTCTACGTAGACTGACGGAACGAAACAGCAATTCCATTCTTTGCGATTCTCTTCTCGATGTCGATGTTATTTAAAATAGCATCAACATGGAAGATTAAACGATCCCGGAAGCCTCGAGGCTTGATTGTCGATCGTACACTTTGTTGGGAAATTATTCCTTTTAATCAGGACGAACAAAATTGATACGCGTTTGGCTTCATGGGAAATTTCACCGATTGCCAATTCACCCCGTTAATTGGGATCGTTGAAATCAACGTAGAGCTCACGAATCGAAGCGACGTTCACGATACATTAGGTTCGTTGAAACGAATTTCTTTCAAGCGATCGATGAGTAATGACAAAGGGCATTTACCGACAGATTATCCTTCGGTGAACAAACAAGCTTGAGTGCTCGATGATTGGTCGACTAACTGTTGGCGTAGTTGGTGCAACTTTGTGACAAAAAATATCGGGGACAATTTGCAACAGATTTGTAATGTTCAAAATTTTATGTACAAATAATTCAAATTTAAAATTTCAATAATTTTGAAAAATGCATCTACTTTTTAATGCGACTATGTAAAAATCCAAAATCAAATTTATGATGTGTCTTTAACCTGTTAACTGCGCTTGACGTATATATACGTCGATGCAGAATTTCATTTCTGCGTGATTGATTAATTTTTTATCGAATAAAAATGCAACCGTTTTACGATTTGCTTTAAATTTTTGTAAAATTTATGGTGGTGGTAATTACTCTGTGTCTGACGTATATATACGTCAATGTCAAACTTCATTTCGATGCAGTTAGTTAACGAATTAATTTTTTATTGATTGAAAATATTCCTTTTTTTGCTTTACGTTTTCATATTCATAATAATGGCATGTACTCTGTATTCGACGTATATATACGTCAATGTCAAACTTCATTTCCTGTACCATTAACGAAATTGTCTGATTTTAATTACATATCCTCTAAAGGATTTTCTAAATGAAATTCCGCAGTTAATCGGTTAAATTTTTCTGATCTTTCATAACCGATCTTCAAGATAATTCTGTCGGTCAGCGAATTCAGACAGAACGCAGCGCAAGAGAAATGATCCTTTCAGCTACAAAGATCTTCGAACCGGTGTAGGTACAGGTAGATACGCAGAGATATATTAAATTATCACATGAGTAGACAAGTGAGTTACTCGTTAGCAGTAGGGGGCAACGATACAGCCAAAGGCAGCAATATGCTTACATCGATGAATCTAAACGCAACTATGATTCGTAATTATTATTTTTTTAATGGTCACACGCAAGTGACGGCAGTTTCTTCTTCGTCTTGTCTTTTTTCTTCTCGTTAACGCTAATCGAGTGATGACTACGTATTTTTTTTTTTAATCCTTATGCGAATAAAATTGCCCGATCTTCGTATAAAATTCTACTTTATTGAAATCGTTCTACCTTATCTTCGATACGGGAACAATATTAACGTTTCGAATATCGCAGTTATTGGTGGAAAACATAAATTTTTTATTAAATTTGGTTATGTTAACAATTGTACAATATTTTTTATGTTTATTTGGAGTTTAATATTCGAATTGATAAACGAGGAAAGGATAGGACTCTCGTTATATTGCCATTTTCATGTATCCGGTTTTTTATTAAACAGTATTATTTGAAAATGAGTTTGCAAATTTAGGGATTTAGGAATTTGAAAATTTTCAAAGGTGGTTATGTACTTGGAAAGGAGTTTTGGAAGGAAAACCTACAGGGTGTCTCGCAACTAGTGTAGAAATGGGGGGTAGCTGACGCGATTCTGAATAAGATTTCCCTTTGCAAAAATGGGGTTTGAAGCTTCGTTTTTGAATTATTAAGGAAAAACACGGACCAATCAGAGCGCGAGGATTATTACGCGTTAGACTACTACGCGTCCAATATCCACGCGTTGGATTACTACGCGTTAGATATCCACATGCTGGATTACTACGCGTTAGATTACCACGCATTAGATTCCTACGCTTAGAATTACCACGCGTTGCATTATTACGCGTTGGATTACTACGCGTAGAACATGCACGCGCTAGATTACTCCGCGTTGGATATCCACACGCTATATTAGTTCGCGATGGATTACTACGCAATGGATTACTACGCGTAGGATTACCACGCGTTCCATTATCACACGTTGCATTACTACGCGTTAGATTACCACGCATTAGACTCCTACGCTTAGAATTACCACGCGTTGCATTATTACGCGTTGAATTACTACACGTAGAATATGCACACGCTAGATTTCTACGCGTTGGATATCCACACGTTGTATTATTACGCGTTGGATTACTACACATTTGATTACCACGCGTTGCATTACCACACGTTACATTACTACGCGTTGGATAACAACGCGTTATCCGAAGCTGCCGTTCTCGCGTCTGCGCATACGCAATCCTCGCACTCTGATTGGTCCGCGTTTTTCCTTAATAATTCAAAAACGAAGCTTCGAACCCCATTTTTGCAAAGGGAAATTTTGTTCAGAATCGCGTCAGCTATCCCCCCATTTCAGGGACCTACACTAGTTGCGCGACACCTTGTATATCACTAAGAATTCTTTCCCACGTGACAATATAACGAGAGTCCACCGTAATTTCACTAGCAACCTTTGACTGCGACATTCGACGCGTCAAAAACGTTTTTCATAATCAACGACTAATCTACACTGGTTCAAATTTTCAATTACAATAATTCCCACCTGACCGGTGATTCGTTCGTTCAACAACACAGAGAGAAGCGATCTTTGTTACGTTTAAATTCAACGCGATTTATATACGAATGGCTATGTCTCTGGTATTATCTACTCCTTTACGCGGCGTTACATTAAGATATATAAATAGTATTTTTTTTAATGTTGTAACGGTAACATCGCCTACTTACTAGATATTGCGAATGCTATTAATAATAGTATTCATCCGGTATAAATACATGGAACATAACGATTCGAATGGTTAATTAGTTGAATGTCGTGAGAATAGCATCGCTAAACGAACAATTTTATCCTCGAAATCTTACAAATTCGTCGTTTCTCGTATCTCTAAACCCTCGTTCGTTTCATCGTCGAAACGAAGCCTCCGATATGTCGATAACTTTTCGAGTTTCTCATCGATTTCTCTGTTTCCCCGAGAAGAAATATCGTGCCCGAGACAGAAAGGAACACGGTTCCAAACGCTATTACCTCGAATTGCTTGCTCGTTGCTAATCTCGTCGTCCCGTTTCGCGTCAACGCAATCATAAACGTTTTCTTTTTTCATTCTTTTCTTATTTCTCGATGTACGCCTATATGTACAATATACTAGTTCTTTTTTTTTTCTTTGTGTTTGTATTGATCCCGCCTATCATATAAAGTTACAATTATGATGTGTCATAGTCCGTGGTGCGAGCCACCACTCCTTCCAACAAACAATATCTACGTCAGTGATGGGCAAATGCCCGTGGGCATGTGGGCAGTGCGATATAGAATGGTAGTCGATTTTTTAAATTCTCATACTTTTAAATTTAGAAATTTAAGGTTTTGGTGATTTGAAGATTTAGGGGTTTTAGGGGATTAGTGGGTCGAGAATTTAGGAAATTAGAGATTTGGTAAATTAGGGATTTTGGGGTTTTAGGGGATTAGTGGATTGAGAATTTAGGAAATTAGAGATTTGGTAATTTAGGGATTTTGGGGTTTGAGGATTTGGAGATTTGGGGTTTAAGGGGATTAGTGGGTTCAGAATTTAGGAAATTAGAGATTTGGTAATTTAAGGATTTTGGGGTTTGAGGATTTGGAGATTTGGGGTTTTAGGGGATTAATGGGTTCAGAATTTAGGAAATTAGAGATTTGGTGGTTTAAGGATTTTGGGGTTTGAGGATTTGGAGATTTAGTGATTCAGAGGATTAGTGGATCAGAAATTCAGGGGTTTAGGGATTTAGTGATTTAGGAATTTTGGGGTTTGAAAATTTAAAGATTTAGTGATTCAAGGATTTTGAGGTTTGAGGATTTGAAGATTTACGGTTTTAGGCGATCAGCAATTTTGGAACTCTGATATTCAAAAATTTGGGGATTTAGGAATTTAAGGATTAAAGCAGAAAAAAATGTATAAATATGTAAATATGAAGATTTAGGGACTCGAACATTAGAGGATCTAGGGATTTAATGATTAAGGGTTGGGAAAATGGGAATTTAAAAATTTCCGAATTTAGTTGCCTTTTTTAAAGATTTAGTATTTGAAGAATTTTGTAAAAATGTAGAATTGTGCACCCCTCGAGCACAATTGCCCATCACTGATCCATACCGTTCCCTCCAGAATTAATATGATATCGTCGAAGTCTCTCGCGCAAAATCACTTCTTTCGCCGTACTCTAACCCCTCCATGCTCTAACGACTCTTAACTCGAGTTCTATCGTGACGTACACGAGATTCGACAGTCTTCGAAGCAAAAAAGCTTAATGAGCGCCTAATAATTACGATTAATTTACGCACGACGAATTGTAACCACCTACACGTTCACACTCACTCATACTCGTTCTTTTTTTACACTTACATTTTCTTCTCCGTCATATCGCCGAGTAGTCTGATTAGGTTAACCGTATATTGCCATGAGTGTCGACGAATCCCCATTTTCTCGAATTTCCTTCATTTATGCTTCCAAGAAGATTCTAATTGCTTAAGTAAGTATCCCTATTTACCTCGAAGATACATTCTTATAATCCATGCAGGAATGTTCACAGCTGAATTACGATTACACGATATTGCTCCTAAATTCTCGAGGACCAAAAATCCACGGGGTCCTCGAGACTCTATGCGACCTTCGGATCGCCCGTCTCCATTCGATTGTCGAATTCACAGTTTCACGATTGTATTTTCTACCCTTGAATATCCTCCATTTCAGAAAGCCGGGACGTCGTTGTAACGATTCTTCGATGTCCAAATTCAGAATCTCGTTCGCACGGTTATCCAGTGAGGATAAAACGAGTCGTCGATCGGCCCTCGGTCCACGTTCGAACGGTTCTTAGCCGGGCACGCGTGGCACCCGCCACGGGCATCGTGCTCGTCGACTATCCTCGACGTTCAGTATCAGGACGTGGGCGCGTAACCAAGGTTCTTCCTCTGCAGGAACATCGAGATCTCCCGGAAGGTCGGCCTCTCAGTCTCCTCGCGCCGCCAGCAGTCCAGCATCAGGTCGTAAATATCCTTCGAGCAGGCGATCGGTTGCGGTAAATAGTCGAACAGGTTTTCGGTGTCCTCCTTGCAATTGTTCTCCCCGTTGCTGTCGCTGCACTCCGTCGCGCGATGCAATCGGCGGAGGCTCTGCACCACTTCCTCGTCTGACAAGTGCTCGTACGGGACGCGGCGGCCCAGGTTCAAGATCTCCCACAGGGTCACCGCGAACGCCCATACGTCGGTCTTCGTCGTGTACTTGCCCTGCGAACATTCGTTATCGATTGTGTTACGTTAGCAATTTGGGGACAGGGTGGCTGAAAATTGTGCACATCTGGAAATTCTAATTTGTCAAGGGTATATGGTCAAACAGAACAATTCGATAGTATATGCAAAAGACACATCTGAACCGACTTTCAACCCCCTGTCTCAACTAGGAGATCAGTAATGAAAATTGAAATTACACATTTTGTCAAAAACATCAATTGAATGAAAAAAAATATGCTACAAATGAAAAAAAATATTGTAAGTTAAATGATAAAGGTATGTGATGCAATAAAAAGCAGATCTTTGAAGTTATTAATAACACGAAGAAAAGAATCTATCTCGTTACAAAGCAATCAGCAAATAATCAGTGCAATAAACACAATCGAAAGTGCATTGAACACAATCGAAGCGAGTTTAAACGTGATTTTATTCGGTATAATATAGGAATAATGCTTACCAAAAATATGGATTCCCAGGCCATCCAGCGTATCGGCAGGGGCACCGTGCCATCGACTTTGTAATAATCGCACGCGTACAATTCGTTGCCCGTACAGAAATCCGAGATTTTAATGTGATAAGCTTTGCCTACCAAGCAATTCCTGTAATCGAAATCATGGTTATCGATGAATACAACGGATCGACCTGTTCCGTTCCACAAACACGGACGTGGGCGCGTAACCAAGGTTCTTCCTCTGCAGGAACATCGAGATCTCCCGGAAGGTCGGCCTCTCAGTCTCCTCGCGCCGCCAGCAGTCCAGCATCAGGTCGTAAATATCCTTCGAGCAGGCGATCGGTTGCGGTAAATAGTCGAACAGGTTTTCGGTGTCCTCCTTGCAATTGTTCTCCCCGTTGCTGTCGCTGCACTCCGTCGCGCGATGCAATCGGCGGAGGCTCTGCACCACTTCCTCGTCTGACAAGTGCTCGTACGGGACGCGGCGGCCCAGGTTCAAGATCTCCCACAGGGTCACCGCGAACGCCCATACGTCGGTCTTCGTCGTGTACTTGCCCTGCGAACATTCGTTATCGATTGTGTTACGTTAGCAATTTGGGGACAGGGTGGCTGAAAATTGTGCACATCTGGAAATTCTAATTTGTCAAGGGTATATGGTCAAACAGAACAATTCGATAGTATATGCAAAAGACACATCTGAACCGACTTTCAACCCCCTGTCTCAACTAGGAGATCAGTAATGAAAATTGAAATTACACATTTTGTCAAAAACATCAATTGAATGAAAAAAAATATGCTACAAATGAAAAAAAATATTGTAAGTTAAATGATAAAGGTATGTGATGCAATAAAAAGCAGATCTTTGAAGTTATTAATAACACGAAGAAAAGAATCTATCTCGTTACAAAGCAATCAGCAAATAATCAGTGCAATAAACACAATCGAAAGTGCATTGAACACAATCGAAGCGAGTTTAAACGTGATTTTATTCGGTATAATATAGGAATAATGCTTACCAAAAATATGGATTCCCAGGCCATCCAGCGTATCGGCAGGGGCACCGTGCCATCGACTTTGTAATAATCGCACGCGTACAATTCGTTGCCCGTACAGAAATCCGAGATTTTAATGTGATAAGCTTTGCCTACCAAGCAATTCCTGTAATCGAAATCATGGTTATCGATGAATACAACGGATCGACCTGTTCCGTTCCACAAACACTCAATGCACGCCATTTAATTAACTTGCAAACGTATTACACCTATACACGCGCCGCGACCAGGAGAGGCTTTTATTATTACTAGATTACACGTTTCGTTTTATCGCAACCAATTACATTATACGGGAATAAAATTTCATCCATCAAATCCGATTCGATCGGGTCCAGCGAGCTCAATCTTTGCGATTGCGGTTTCTGTTCTAATAATTTTTCATTTTGAAATTGGATATAGTGATATTATAGGGGAATGTATGTAATTAGGTATGTATGTAATAGGTATGTATGTAATTAGATATGTAGCTAGATGTTGATATAAGCAGATTGTTAATTAGATACCTATATGAACAAAGCATAATCAGATATCTTTACGAGACAGGTGTCTTGATGACATAGGTCATCAGATACCTACCAAGGGTCTATACAGGTATGTATAAGTACTCATTCATATCTAGGTACTGCTATAGTCATCCAGACTACTGTACTACTAGATTTCCATGTACCTAGATTTCTACATATGTGGATCTACATATACACATATTCCTATTCATCTAAATAACTGTACACTTAAGTTTTCATGTATACTCTTCATATACCTAAACCTCGATATACTCAGAACTTGACATACTCACATCTTCCATGTACTTGAATCTTGACATACTCACATGCTCCATATACTCAAACCTTGACATACTCACATCTCCCATATACTCAAACCTTGACATACTCACATCTTCTATGTACTTGAATCTTGACATACTTACATGCTCCACATATCCAAATCTTGACATACTTACATGCTCCATATACCCAAACCTTGACATATTCACATCTCTCATATACCCAAATCTTGACATACTCACATGCTCCATATACCCAAATCTTGACATACTCACATCTCCCATACACCTTAATCTTGACATACTCACATTTCCCATATACCCAAATCTTGACATACTCACATGCTCCATATACCTAAATCTTGACACACTCACATCTCCTATGTACCTAAACCTTGACATACTCACATCTCCCATATACCCAAATCTTGACATACTCACATCTCCCATATACCTTAATCTTGACATACTCACATCTCCCATACACCTTAATCTTGACATACTCACATTTCCCATATACCCAAATCTTGACATACTCACATCTCCCATATACCTTAATCTTGACATACTCACATCTCCCATACACCTTAATCTTGACATACTCACATCTCCCATATACCCAAACCTTGACACACTCACATGCTCCACATACCCAAATCTTGACACACTCACATGCTCCATATACCCAAATCTTGACATACTCACATCTCCCATACACCTTAATCTTGACATACTCACATTTCCCATATACCCAAATCTTGACATACTCACATCTCCCATACACCTTAATCTTGACATACTCACAT